GCTTCTGAAGGTGACTCACAAAGCCAGCTTCACATTGTTGCGTCATTACAGTTAAAGAAAGGGAAGAAATCTATTTACTAAATGTTGGGCTTGGAGTCTAGAGTATTTGTTCTAACAGGTCCTGTTAGATTCCATAGCTTTTTCATAGCTAGTATCAGTTACCAGCCCATCCTGTAGAGAAAGTTCCTTTTGTAAAAGGCATATTGCCTTCACAGGTCTGTCTTGACTGGAGGGATGGTGAGGTCTACCCTACAAGTCTGGTCTTCCCCCCAGAGATCTGGGGTGACTCAGGACTAGGACATGGTATGTTCTGAAAAATCTATTGAAGGAAATCCTGATGAGAAAATGTTCACCAAAGATTGAATACAAAATGATGGAAGAATTGAAAAGTCGATGTTCTCTTTGAAACAGAAGCCGGAGCCTGTTACTCGTTACTACCTTCATGTACCCCACACACAGGCAAAGGGCTGGTATCCAAGGTGTTCAAAACGTCCCCCAAGCCCCATGCAGCCTGGTTCCTGGCTGCATTCCCAGTGTTCCAGCAACAATGAACTACTTACCCTTCTCTGAACATCCCCTCCTCTTCCATTTCTCTCCTCTTTTGCATATGTTATCCATGTGTCTAGATGGATCCTCTTTTGGCTGGTAAACTCCCCTGCACCCTTTAGGACCAACTTAAACAGTGCTCCTCTGTGATGCTTTCTCCCATGTGTTCTCAAAGCCAGTCATGCATTCATCTGTTATATCATTTTTTTTTTTTTTAGAGATAGAGCTATTTGCATGTCTTAGTCCCCCATAGGTTTTGAGCTTCACCAGAGCAGGAACTAGGTCTTGCCATTCCTGTTAGCAGTTACATGAAGTGCTATTATGAAGTGCTCCCTGCACGCCAGGCACTGGGCTTTCTAAACATATGCACTATCTCATTTAACCTGCCCCAATCCTCTGAGGGAACTAAAACTAGAAGAAATGGTACTGAAATGTGACAAAGTTGGGATTTGAACCCACCTGCCTATGCTGGGATCTTAACCACAGTTCTGTTTTCCTCATCTGAACAATAGAGATGATAATACACTTGATAAGATTATTTTGAAGGTTGAACGCCATGATTTATGTGAAGCACTTAACACAGTACCCAGTGCTTACTAACAACAATGTGTACTCGGTCCTTCAGCCAGCAAGGGGCAGAGGAGGCATTTGAACAACTTAGTTCTAACAACAGTCATGTTCCTTAACCCTGAAGCTCATGGTTCACCACAGGGAAGCAAGAAAAACACTCCATAGACACCTTGTCCCTTTAGCAAAGGTTCTCTCACTCTTTGCATCCAGGGGTCTCTGGGGAAGCTTTAGAAGGTGGATGCAGAGAGCCTCCTCCACCCACCCATCACTGCAGAACTCGGGAGGGTAATGTGGGGATGGTTCAGTAGCTTGGCAGCAGCCCACTTTGAAGACATTAGGATGTTACCAGCACCTCGTTAGGCTCCAGCACTAATTATATATCTCTCCAAGGAGAAGGTGAGTGTGGCATGGCTGTTCTGAGATTCAGTTCTTGGATCAGCTGGTTCCTTTGCTTGCAACCTCAGGCAAGTCATTTCTTCTTCACCCAGGGTGAGGCCATCAGCCCGCTGGCTCCCTGAGCCTTCAGAAACACAGCTTTTCTAACAGCTCTGGGAAAAAAGCCAGCGTTTCAGATAAGCACACCCGTAGCTGCTTCATCTGTAAACGATGCTTTCTTAAGGGCTTAACTTGGTTAAGGCAGTCCATATTCATGTATAGCCAATTCATGTAAAAATTTTGGTCCAGCAAACCCAAATTTGTATATTTTTCATTGACGGTTTAATAGAGGAGTTATTTTAAAAGATATACAGAGCTGTTTGTAAATCATCGTAATTGGTGGCTAATAATTTAGAAATATTTTAAATTAGTTTATTGAGTGTGAGGCTGGCTCTATCCACAGCTCTGCCTGTGGTGCTGTGGCGTCTCCCAGGGAGAGATATACAACAAAATTCATTTTAAAGAATATGATTGTTTAAAAAACGATTGAACATGTGTTTACATATCTCTAGAAGAAGGACTTCCTCATTTTTTCTTATCCCTGTGCCTGCCCTCCCTCTACATGCACGTTGGTAAGTGAGATAGACTTGCAGTCTTGAAACTAGATCATTGTCAGCTCCCTGTTGCATTCAGCTCCCTGACTTCCAGTTCTTCCTGCAGTTGGAGAAGGCAGAAGGTCCTACTTTAGCTTTGCTTTTCCCCTCCCCTCTGCCAAAACCAAGTCAGAATTCCCAGCAGCAAGCTCAGTTCACATGTTCAGTTTCATTTCAGTTCCATTTCTCAGGGACCTTCCCGCTTTTTTGGGTTGCCATTTTCTGAAAAATCCACATTTCACCCGGGTGTGGCTGGGCTGGGGCTGCAATGTGTCTCAGCATTCCGTGTCTGGAATGCTCACCAGGCTCCACAGTCTGGCCTTAGCAGAAAGCTAGGGTTCTGTATGTGTGGGCCTTGTCTACATGCCTGGGTGTGTGTAATTACCCAACCGTGTGTGTTGTTTCACTAGCAATAAAAATCCAGCAGGGAAATGAATGCTAAAATTAGTTTGTTTGTCCTTTGACGAGATCTCCCCAGTTGAAAGAATTTTGTTTATCTAACTGGCTGGGCAGACTTTGCTAAAATCAAAATTAACTGTCTTGCTTAATGGTGCAATAGATTGTCTTTTGAAGAGCTTCCACTGAGTTCTCCTTGAAAGGACATGTGACCTAGAAAGTCCAGCCTCTGGCAAAGTTACAGCATTTTGGTGCAGGTGTTTTTTCCTCCTTGTGCTGGTTGTAGGATAGATGCCTGTAACCCATTGATCTACCCTGAGTCACTCTATCTGTTGGAGGGTAAATGGACAGATGGATGGCTGGATAGATGGATGATTGGCAGATCGACTGTTTAATTTGCTTGCCCTATGTCTTAAATGTAAGTTGGTTAATGCTTAAGTGGAAAGAAAACCTGTAATCGGTGTTCTTATAAAAAATTTTTGCTAAGCCTCACCCTATGGCTGTGTCTTTGAGCTTCATTCATTCATGTGTTCATTTATTCAACAAAAACAGTATTTAATAAGCACCCAGTATGTGCTAAGCACATGGGATATAGATTTGAACAAAATAAGAATCTCTGCCTGCAAAGAGCTTACTATCTAGTGTGAGAAACATGCATTGAAGAGCAATTAGACAATTATTTAACTATAGCTGCAATCGATTTTTATATTTTTATTGATACTTAATTTATATGCCATAAAATTCACCATTTTAAAGCACACAATTCAATGGTTTTTAGTATATTCAGAGAGTGATTTTTAAAATGATAAAGTTGAGTGAAAACTTCAGTCTCTTGCGTTTTCAGCACAAGCACAAATACTTGGTCTGATTTACTCCAACAGATTTTTCATTATGTTGACATTGTGACCTCGGTGATCATTAATGTCATAAAGGGAGGAGAAGGGAACATTGGAGGTGTTGAGTTTAGACACAATAGCCTAGAAGCTTCCTGGGTTCCTCTGACCCATTCTGGAAGATGCTTTCCACCAGAGATAACTCCAGTGAGAGTCTCCTTCTCTGCCCCTTACTTGAACTTCCTGTTCTGGGCAGCCTCCCCTGCATCTCATAATTCTGTTCTTGAAAAATATATCCCATAAAGGTTCCCATCTTGAGGTAGAAGAAATTCAAGGACTGGAAACCCTCAGGGTCGACTCCATATATGCAAAAGCTAAAATGCCAAGTGCAGTAAAGCTTTCCATGATTTAGCTGAGCTGACTTTGTCTCAGGAAACTAATGACTCATTGGTCCTCTTAGTACATATCGTTTGATTTGAAATGTAAAATGCTTGCATTTTCAGATACCTTGATGAATGGGTCCCATGAGGGATCTGATGGGTCCCGTCAGGCGATCTGATGGGTCCCATGAAGGATTAAAGGGATCCAAGTTTGGTTTCTGGCTCTGCCCAAGTTTTGCTTTGCCTTCCTGTTCTCTTTTGAAGATGAGGGAAATGACACAACCAGTTTCCTTTATGGGAGCTGTGAGGAAGCCAGGGTAGATAGGAGGTACAGCTGCCTTGGACTGAGCTACCTCCTACTAGTGGTTAAGCTTTCAGGAACTTGTCTGGTTGGTAAACAATCAGCCATCTGTACAGAAAGTTCCAGACATCCTCCTTCTCCAGGACAGCACTGATTTCATCAGAAGACAGCTTTGTAGCTATCCTACCAAGAAAAGAATAAATTATCATTAGTGTTCTTCACAGAGCTTTGTGACAACCTCCTGAAAACATCAGTATCAAGGGTGAAATTCACTTCATGATCATGACAACCATAATGTCTTCCACTTATGTAGTCTTACACAAATTGGAGTGCACTTTCCTATTTCTGATCTCACTAATTCTCATGCCCATGTTCTGATATTCCTATATGTCACAGGCTGTGACAGTCCTCTAGTTCAGGTGAAAAACTTACAACCCAGGGAAGTGACTTGCCTGTGATGGCAAAGGTCACTCATCCATCCTCTATCCTTTCTTTCCCCCTCTCTCAAAAGCTTGCCTTCTTTTTCCACTGCACTATTCTGTAATGTTATTGCCTATGATTTGCTAATGATTTGTCAGTTCCATTTCCATTACTCAGGTAAAACACCTGCTTGTTTAATCGCTGACATTAAAAAGAATGTCATGAATCCATCTGACAGTTAATTTTATTCACTAATTTCCTTCTGCCTCATAGGTGCCTGTGAGTTTGGGTTAATTAAGCTGAGTTCTTTCTCTTTTTCTTCTTTTTTGTTAGCAAGCTGGTGATCCTCTAGGTTGGATCAGCAGCTGAGTTATCCTTGGGTTGTGATCGGTGCCAGTCTCAGGAAATCCTCAGTTCCTTCCCCCTTAGAGCACTTGGTGGCTGGGCAGGCTTCTGGATATGAATGCAAGCCTACAAGCCACTTGCTTTTAACATTCATGTGCATCGTCCTCTTCTCCTTTTAAAGATACATGACTGATGGTGGACTTGGCCTCTACACCCGTCGCCTGAACCGGCTCCCTGATGGGATGGCTGTGGTACGGGAGACCCTGCAACGAAATACCTCCCTGGGCCTTGGAGACGCTGACAGGTAAGCTTGCCCCACTTGGGGCTGGCCAGTTGCAGAGGTGATTCCAGAGTGGCCTGAGAAATGAGGGTTATGATATTGAGAGTGAATGGAGACTTCTTTAACCCACAGAGAGCAGGGGGGGTCTGGAATCTGTACCTGGGGTTAGGAGCAGGCACAGTAGGTAGGAAAGAGCTGCTGCGGATTCTTGAGTCCTGCTTCGGTGTAGGGTGGTGCTTCTGACAGCAATAACATAGGGAGTTCAGGCTTGGGTGGTTTTTGTTATTGTTTGCTTGTTGCTACTGTGTCTTTGTCAGTTCAGCGGGCCCTAGGGATGTGCTTTACTTCCTCTCTCATTAGCCAGCTTTCTAGGTATTGTACCCTGTGGCACAGAAGGTCTGTGTGCAGAAGGGATCTCCCCTAGCCTTTGCTGAGCAGCCTTTACCATAAAGCCTCCTGTTCCATGGTAATAGGAGGCAGCACTTAAGGACGTGAGTTTATACACCACATGCTAAGTAGTTGACATAGAGGTTGATCAAGTGCCATTGCCACTGCTGTCTGAGAAGAAAACAGCTTCAGAAAATACTGTGATGAAGAAAGAGGAGTATTTCTAGTTCTAGTCCTTGCTCTGACACCAACTGATTCTATGACCCTGAGCAACCTATGAAGTGAGGGGTTTAGATTATATGATTTCCAGGATCCCTTCCAGCTCTAATATGCTATAATTCTGGATTTCAGTGTAGATTTCAAATACCCGTCGTGATCTGGCTATTCAAGGATTTGCAGGAACACTTGACCTCTTTCCACATCTGGGTTCATGAAATGTAGCATGGAAGTTAGATGCGAGTGGTTGGAAATGTCCGTAGACTTTTTGGATACTAAACCTCTTATGTCGGAAAGCCAACTAGTAGCACAAGAACAGCTTCCTGCTATTCCCTAGGGCACGCATTTGACAAAGAGCTAAGTGACTTCTGTACTTATCTGGCTTTAGAGAAATAGGACAGCCGGGCGCGGTGGCTCAAGCCTGTAATCCCAGCACTTTGGGAGGCCGAGGCGGGTGGATCACGAGGTCAAGAGATCGAGACCATCCTGGTCAACATGGTGAAACCTCGTCTC